GCTGGCCGACGAGGCAAACAACCGCCCGCGACTGCTGAGAAAATCGCAAATTTAGAGACACTGGAGTCAAAGATTTCGCATGCCGAAGTCGTGTTAGAGAAAATCCTCGGACGAGAGCAGGCGCGTGGAACAGGAGATTCACATGGCGAGACTCCTACCAAACGAGTCCGCAAGAAGTCTGTCCAGTGCTTGCAGGATGTCGAACAGAGTCAGTTTGTGTATCATCGAAATTTTGATGACCTGCTGCGCACAAGAGCTTATGTCCAAGGCATGGGCGCGCAGGCCTGCCCTCGTCGGGTACGGCGACTTCTGTGCCCGAAGACTTATGACTTGGATATACAGAACTGTGTCTTCGTCGTTCTTGAGCAACTCGTGGGGAAGCTTGGGGTGACTCCCGCGATTCCCGACTTCGTCCAGAAGACGCTCGAAAAATGCGCGAAGTCCAGAGAAGAAGTTTGCATCAAGGAATTAGGCGCAACAGTTGCTTCTGGGAAGAAGATACTACATGAAGTTCTGTTCGGTGGTGGCATTCCACAAGCCTATCTGCAGAACACATTCATGATACAGTTTCAGAAGACTGCTCGATATTTGCGCTGGCTGGCCTGCTCCTTGATTCCCGATGTCTACGAAAGAACGAAGGACATGGCTGACAAGAAGCATCCGCAGGCGTCAACGCTTTTTTATCTCTATGCAGCGGTGGAAGATTGCATCCTTCAATCATGGGAAACATTTCTCCGAACACAAACGATAGGCCACATGTCGTTGCATTTCGACGGCGTGCTGGTTGGCCTGCCGAGTGGCGAAGAGGCAAGTCGGCTTTGTCAAGAATCTGCCGACGCAATCTTAAAGGAGACTGGGTTCTCCGTGAAGATCTTGCGCAAGAGCAATCTTTATTTCTGCGAGCTATGTCAAACACCGTGTGAACGCAGTGAGGAAGACGTGGAAGACGTACTGCTTCAGGATGGAAACTGTATCCCACTAGCGATAGTCCGCCTATTTCCCAGCAAGAAGGACGTCGTCCTGTTGGAGCTTGCCAAGCAAAATCAAGTCAACCGCGAGGCGAGCATGGTTGGCTCGCGCTTCTACAAGCAATGCCTGGAGCAATTTGAATTGCAAGCAGCGCCTTCTCTTGGCATCAACTTGCATAAACCTGGCCTGTACCTTCTTCACGCTGAGCACGATGGCGCTCCACATTGCGTGTCATGCAAGTTGAACGAAAATGGCGTAGTGGAAATTGGTGATGGAAGAGGCGTAACGAAAATGACAAAGGCAGAGTTGGAGCGGTTTGGTACCGAAGCAATAGACAACATCTCCATTGTCACTCTACGTGTTTTCGACAAGACAGCTGCTGGACAAGAGTTCGCCTCGCTCCCGCAGTCGCTGTCTTTACTTTTGGGTCTTCGCGCTGGTGCTGGCGAGCTCGACGAGGACTGGGCGGAATGTCTTCAGAACGTCTGTGAGTGCGAAGGTCCTGAAGCCGGATCTGAAGACGAGTGCGAGGTCACGGCTTCCGATGAAGACGAACCACTCATCAAAGTCGGTGATTCTTTACTTGCTCAATTTAGGAAGGAGGTGGAGCAGCAAGCACAAACAGTCTCTGACAAACTGCGTTGTCCGCTTTGTCCTTTCCGCAAATTCCAGAAGCCACGGAGAGTCCGGGACCACATCGTCAAGTACCACACAGCAGCGCGCCAGTACATCTGTAGCGGTACGAAGCAGTTAAAGATCTGCTGCGCTCTCTTCGACAACGACCAAATTCGAGGTGATCGGCTTGGAAACTTCCTGGCGAGAAGTGCGGAACTTCTGCGGACCACAGTGAAGCCTCCCCTTTCAAGCAAAGTAAACGAGATCGACCGGGAAATTCGCCTGGTGCTAACCGGTCAGGGTCCCGAATATTGGTCTCTGTCGACTCTAAAAGAGTCGCATGTCAGACGAGTCCGAAATCTTTACTACACACGCGAGTTTGCCGACATCGTGTACCAGGAGCTGCTTTTGTGCTACGCCAAATGCAAGACTGAGCCTCGACAATGCAATACAGCAACATGATATCTTTTCATCTGTACATGTCTAAGTCCTCAGTTTTTGGCTTGTGTCACAAGGCGAAAACGAGGATCGTAGTCACCATCCAGACGCGGGGATCGGAGTTGGCATCCATGCTGCCGACTGACGTTCGGCACTGGTGGCCTATCATCGAAGATGTCTTTTCATCGCCTCCTATCGCCAAGCTGAAAATGGATCTGATGCGTGCATTTTGTGACTTACAGGAATTTCAAGTTCTGTCTGTTGATGCAACCATCAAACGCTGCATGGGTGTGCTTGGGCAAGAGTCCTACCGCGCGCCAAAAGCCAAGCGAAATGCAGCCCCCTTTGGCGACGATGAGGCTTTAAGACGAGTCTTAACCGTCAGAGGAAGATCAGGGGCTGTGTTGGGTACGCGGGCCGTTCCATCTGAGAAGGCCGAAGACATTCGCATTGCGCTCGCGGAAATGCTACCTGCAGAAGGACTTCGGCAGGTGCAGTGCCTTTCGTCAGACTCCGCTTCCATCAAGCTATACACAGAACTGAAATGCGTCATGCCTAACATGCAATGCCTGGCCCTGGATCCCATTCATCTGTCGATCGTCTACGAGCATCTAGCTTGTGTTCGGGAACAGCTTTAGACTTAACATGTCACGGGACGTCTAAGACAAGACTGAATACGCCGGACATAAGCCGGGAGTTCCTGCCTAGGTACGCGACGTGGAGAAAAAAAACACCAGGCGCCATATTCCTCCGGAAGATCATGCATAAGTTCAGCATGGTCGATCCAGTTCTTCCTGCGGGTCACTGGGGTCCGTTCTACAGGGGGTACGAGAAGTCTCCGCTCAGTCGACTAGAGCAAACATATCGAACCTACATAGAGACGAGCGCGTTGCCCAAAAGCAAAGCTCGCAAGATCGTTGAGGAGCTTGACAGCTCAACTCCTTTTCTCTGTAGGTTCGAGTTTGTCTCGGCCTTGGCTGCATTGTCAGCCATTTTCCGCGAGGATATGGATCGGAAGGTGACAGGAGCCAACAAAAAGATTTCGCACATACTCTGGTGTGCTGCCGATCCTGATCGCGTCGGGTGGTTACTCAACAACCAGCGCTTCAGGCAGACCTTGAGCCTTGAGCCTAGCTTCTCAGCCTTTGCTTGACACGTCTATCGTCATGTTCAGTGTTCAGCGGTGTCTGAGCGAGGTCGGAGAGTTCTGGCACTGCTTCCTTCGGGCACAACTAGCAATGAAGCCTTGCATGCTGAGATTAAATCTTGGTTTTTGCAAACTCAACAAATCCACAAGAGCACTTTGCGCTTAAAGCTGGTGATCTTGATGTTGAGTAAAGCCCTGCCCCACGCACTTGCAATGCAGACGCCAACTTTAAGCCAAACCACCAGCAGGCTCCTTTTGGCTAGAGCGAGTGCAGGTTCCGTGTGGTCTGAGGATGCCTGGCAGTGCTGGTGCGACACAGCTGTAGTGGCTGAAGGCATCGAAAAGGCCAGGCTCCCATTTAATGACGGCCGTTCACACGAAGTGCGAACAGTTCGGAAGTGGATGCTGAAGAAACCGTCAGCAAAAAAACAAAGTACGCGCAAGCGTACCGTTTTCACTTCGGCTCGAAAAGCGAGCCTTCGCACACAAGGAGTGCGCAGCTGAGTCGGAGGTCTTGTCCGGAAGGCGAAGCGGATCACCGCCGATATGAAATCAGTACGTCAGCACTGTTGCTCAGCCACGCGGGCTTTTTGTTTGCTTGACTCGCAGCAGTTGAAGCCTACTGGCAATCGGGAGGCCTGGAAGCGCCGACGTGCATCCTGAATCAGGCCTGAGCTTGCTGGGTGACTTGCAACTGAAAATGCGTTGTGAACTCAGCCCGCAGATTTTAATTATTGCTTGTAAACCGGTCGCGCGTCCGGTATGGGGGTACAAGTTTCTGGCCAACTGACGTTTACTCGCTATGGAAACATGATGCCTGTTCGGCCACTGGCGAGCTAGAAGGAACATTCGACTCCGCACATTAGATGCCAACTCTACCGGATATCCAACAGTCCATCGAGCATTGGAGCAGCGGGCCGGATCAAACCTACATCCAAGCTCTGACCGCGCCGCCGAAGCTTGTCGTGGTTTAGCTCGGTCGTTTCAAGCAAAACCCGCGGGGCGAAATCCTGGAAGACAGCAGCTGCACCTTCTCAACGCATTTAGGGTAAGAAGTGATTCCAGTTAAGGAGTTGACAGCCCAGATCTTATTTGGTGTCTAGAATTTAGGATTGAAGTAACCTTCAAACACGGGCATTAGGGAGTTGAGGGCTCAGGTCTTATTTGGGCTCTAGAATTTAGGATTGAGGTAGCCTTCAAACACAGGCATCCTGTCTGTTTCTGCTGCTGTTGTTATTGTGTTTTGGGCGTGTGCGTATGTGTGTGTGGAGAACAATTAAAAGGTCATATCATACATAAAGGTTCCTGCCACATATATATATACACATGTGCTTATGTGCATCTATACTTCTATACGAAGATGTTAGCATCAGCCAAGCTTTCTAAGATGTCGTTGCATTAAGAACATCTTCAGGGATTGCGTCATCTGTCGCAGCTCCCCCGGCTCCCCCTTGTCCAAAACCATCCCTTATCCATCAGCTATCCCGTATGCTGCAATTACTGAATAACAGACTATTCTTCTGTCATAACATGAGACACTACTACATACATATCATTGACATCCCACCCAGACATGTTCCAACAACGCTTACAATGTCAAAAACCATAAAATTGCGTTTTTTGAAAACGCTGATTTTTCGCCTGCAAAACCCGAAAACACTGTACATGCCAGCATTTTGCTCCTCGCAACCTCATTTCGTAATGTGACGCCCGTGAATGTGCAAAAACGCGAGGTTTTTAACAATTCCGTACAAACGGAGCATGTTTTTTTGAGGTTCAACATTTAGATAGAAACTAAATACAAATCTAAATATAGATGAGGCCCAGCGGCCTGGTCGACTTTGGCCCATGCGATGTAGACCGTCAACCAGAAGCGCTCCCGCCTTTGGGGCTCAGCGGAAATTCCGCAGAGAATGGGGCCGGGCGGGCCCTCCCAAACTGGCCCCTCTAAACCCTCATTGCTTCGTTGGCCTCTATGAGAGCCCCATGTGGGGGTCGGCTTTGTCATAAGGACTTGTTGCGGGGCCTCATCAGAGAGGTCGTTCTCCGAAGCGTCCAGCCTGGGTCCCACCACAGGGCGTTGCGCTACAGAGCCTTGTAACCCCCTAACTAACCCCCTAACCCCCTAACACACACCCTCCATATAGCCCCTGAGATAACTATCAGGCAGGATCTGATACAGTTTGGGGAGGCAACAGAAAGCGTGAACCTTGAACTCTACACGCTGATTTTCCCTAGCCCCAAAAGGCCCTGAGACTCCGACTCAAAGACCAGCTCCACTGTGGGGTCGATGCAGCGCGCCTCATGGGCCCCAGGATGGGATCTAGGCCCATCTAGGCGTTCTTTTTTTTTCAGGGGGTTCAAAACCCAAACAGACCCGAAATTCTAGATCAAACCTCTGGGCCCCTTGTGAACATTTCCCACCTGAGGTCTGTTTTCACTGCCTTCTTCCCAGGTCGAGGCGCGCAGAAGGCTCCCAGGGCCAACAGCAGGGAGGGGATGTCCACTTCTTGAAGCCCGAGGGCCTTCACACTCATGTTACGTAAGGCTGTGAGGGGATGCTTCTACCCTAGATATACAGGGCATATGGGGTACCAATAGCAGGCGCCCTACTGTAATTCAGAACAACCGCCTCATGGTGCATCACGACATGAGCTCAGACATGAGATCATGGTGCAGCGTTGCGGCGCCTTCACCCGTACAGACAGTATAGAGGTGCCGTAGGAATGCCTCAGCGATGCTTGGTGCCAGCGCAGGTCTCACACTACTCTTCGATGCGAGGCCTGATCTAGATTTTGCCCTTCTTGACTACAACGTGACTACAACAGAGAACTCCAACAAGGGCCCACAACTTACATTATTCCCCCACCCCCGAATGTCTCATGCTCCGAGGTGCTGAAGTTGACAGTGGCGATCCCACCAGGAGGGCAAACAGCGCTCCACATCTTCCTGGGAGGCATCCAGGGCCTCGCTTTTCTCGGCCGGATCCTCCGGACAGCGCCATCTCAGAGTTAGGTAGGATATGGGGGTTTGCAAAAACAGGGGACCCCGAACATAGACCCCCAAATAGTGAGACTCCCTTAGGATGAGGGCCGCAAAAAAGGTACCCCCTAATTTCGGGAAACCCCCAAATGAGAATCTCGGAATTTGAGGGTAGTCGGGGGATACGAGCAGCACCCTTTTCCTGACTGCGGGTGTCCCTTTTAGGCCTCTGCGGGATCTGCTGCCATAGCCCGGGGCCAAGCGCAGCCAGCACCAGCAAGAATACGTATAGTAATTCTAGTAACCATAAGAATGATAACAAGAATAGTATTGACAGCATGAATACTAGTCGTATTAAATAGTAATAGTAGTAATAGTAGTAATGGTAATAATAGTAGTAGTAGTAGTAGTAGTAGTAGTAGTAGTAGTAGTAGTAGTAGTAGTAGTAGTAGTAGTAATAGTAGTAGTAGTAGTAGTAGTAGCAGCAGCAGTAGTAGTAGCAGTAGTAGCAGTAGCAGTAGCAGTAGTAGCAGTAGTAGTAGTAGTCGTAGTAGTAGTAGTAGTAGTAGTAGTAGTAGTAGTAGTAGTAGTAGTAGTAGAAGTAGTAGTAGTACTAGTACTGGTACTAGTACTAATACTAGTACTAGTAGTAGTACTAGTAGTAATAGTCGTACAAGTCGAAAATCATGTGCAAGTCCAAGCTTCAACTCTGGAAAGTTTCGGGGTCTAGAGGCCGAACCACCGAACCGCCCTTTTCCCAGATGGAGACAAGACTTCTCTGCTGCTTGGAGTATAGCACCGAGACAACCCATGACCATGCTTGTACATTGCATCCGTGCTCTTGTTGTAGCCTGAGCAAAAACAGCTCTGTCACACAGGCAGAGCAAAACCACTTCAGCACATCCAACGGTTGCAAGATGGCAGCTGTCGGCAGCTGTCCATGAACTTTGCCGAGAGAAAGAAGTCAGGGAGTCACACAAACAGAAGAGCGGGAGAAGAGCGGAGTTCACGCTCGGTGCCCGCATTAAAGAGTACATGTGCCCTGTTCCAAGCCTTCGACTGAGGGGAGCCTGCTGGAAAGCGCGACTTTAAGTCCAGGCTGCCGTGAAATGCCGTGACATCTGGCATTCGAACCTGCATCATCGCAGCGGCGACACTACCAAAACCGTGCCCCGATGGCATTGGTGAGTCTTGGATGTGTTCGCAGCATCCGAGGGCTCCTGGAGCATCTCGTGCTGCACTATCAATTGCTGGCAAGTTGGTAGCTCCACGAGCTTTACCTCATCTCTTCGTCTCTCTCCAACTCTTCGTGTGAACACATTGTTCCATCATGCTGGTACACACTGAAGCTTGGTGCAGTGCTGATTTCACCCGTTGCCGGGATTCCTCGCCTCACATCTGCGCACAATCTCCAGTTCAAAAGGACATGCTGCAGGGCATCAGATGGCAGCTGCAAGGCGCCTAAGGGGCCTTTTCGCTCTGCGGGTGCCTTTCAAGAGAAGAAAAGACTAGAGCAAAGCAAGCAGAGGTCACAGAAGGTCTTTGATGCTTTGCCACGCGACAATTTTCAGTGTACGATACGAGATCCTGGGGGCTTGGCCTGCAGCCTTAGGCTGGCAGCACGCTCCGCATCTCCGTCCCCAATGGAAATCAAGTTCCTGAGTCAAGCTTCTCAATGTATACTTGGCCTAGTGAAAACGGGCGCAACATGGCGCAGTGTCAACTTAACTGCTGGGCTTTGCCCTGCCCAGCTGTTGCTATGCTTAGCTAGCTCTTTTCAAAGATTCAGCTGCGGCATAAGACTTTACTAGTTGACACGCCGGGGTTTGCGGAGCTGAGGTGGGCTGCTCATGCTCGGCCCCAGACGTAAACTTCTTGCATTCCCGTCTGAAGGTTGTGATCCTGACAAGATTCGATTGCGAATCCCAGGCCTACATGAAACATGACCCCAACTCAGAATCTCTTCCATTACAGGCAAGCATCTTAAAGGTCAGGGGTGCGTGCATGGGCTTCGCAAAGATCGGATAACTTCGAATCTGCGAAGGGCGGGCACAGGCGTGATGGCAAAGCGCTCAAATTGTAGTTACCGCCTCTCTCCATTGCCAGCGCAAGTCCACATGTTCTCTCGTGATTCCGGTAGTCTGCCCGTGTGCTTCCGGCTTTTGTGTGTTGAAAAGGAGGGAGGACGGCAAAGTCTCTCTCCAAAGCACACGCTTTGTTTCGCAACGACCCTGGCTCGGATCAACAGCGAATGGCATTGCCAGTGATTGGCGCTACCGCGGCAGCAGATGCAACTTTCGGAGCAAACGATCACATGTTGCTTAGCTATACCCGTGTGGAAACTGGGCTGGTGCCAACAACCCATGCCTGCCATGATAGCTTCCCTGCTTGGGTGCCTACTTGAAGCTTCACAGCAATTATGCTCCCGGTTCGCAAAAAGGGGACTTCAATTTAGAGAACTGGCCCGATGATCCTTGGACTGTCTCCGGGGCGACGGGTTGTCTCCGGGATGCTCAGCAAATCCAATGACGATGGCAATGGCAAATGACAAGACAAGAATTATACTAGCAGCAATGAGAATCAGATTCAACAACCGCGCTGACAGCAATTAGAAGACGAAAGAAGGTATCGTACAAGTAGCTTGAATGATGCTATGGTGCTGCATCCGTCACATCTACTGCTTATGTGGCGCCCGGCGTCATGGCCATTAACTGGCCACTGTGCGATACACTCTGCAAAGAGTCATAACCACTACGACCCGCAGCAAACCACAGAAAGGTCGAAATCTGCCAAGAGCGCAGTTAAACGGTTTCCCAGAGGTGACCTGTATCTCACTGTACAGGCAAACTGGATCCGAGCTACGATGGCAGAGGCCGCAAGCATGAGTGCCGCGCTGCCATGACTCCCATGCCAAGAGCTTGGGAAGATAAGCCAGCACACGAAGAGTCGCTAGCCGCTACTGTAACTAAAACTCAAAGCTCAAACCGTCTTGATCCCTTGAACGGGAGCATGTGAAAGCATCCTTTGCTTTTGCCGCTTTGCCAGCTCTTGGCCCTAGGGACTCACTTATAAACCCAAAAAAGGTTATGAGGCATCTGCGCACCTGAGTGCAGAGTGTGGCCAAGCTTTGCAACGAAGCGTGCAGCCGGGAAGCCCCGAAATGGCGTGCGAGAACTGAGTTTGCGCAGACTGCGTGCCGAGGGGCATCACACAATTGGCACAAGAGGTGATGGAATAAACTGACCTGCCGCGCTCATGTCACTCACAAACATTTGTAGCATGCTTAGATATCGCTCGACACTGCGAGTCTGCGAGTGCAAGATGTTAGCCGGGAGTCCGACCAACAAGCCAAAAGCGCCGAGCTAGCAGGCAACGAAGTGCAAGATGGCGCGAAACCTGGGGCAGAAAAGTCTACAGCTTCGGGCGAAACTAGCAAGTCTTTAAGATGCCTAATGGGTGGTGCAAGCAAAGCTGCATGTTTAGCTAGTCATGCTTGATGGCCGTGTGGCATGTCTGGATCGTCTGGGTGCTCATTCGGCAGCGACATTGGTGCCAACTTTGTCTGCACCTTGTCCTTGGACTCCTCGACGCTAACATGCTCCAAGAGGCTCTGGGATTGAACTGTGCAGCGCGTATATTATGCAAGGTTGACCGCGAGGTCAGGAAAGCAGTATTGGGCCCGTTCACAAAGCTTCACTGGGCTTCACTTGCACCCATATATATATATATATATAGAAAGGTAAATATGTGTATCTGTGATAAATTAACATACTGGTAAATGCATGACAATGCATGGGTACAAAGACCAATGATATCTACAGCAAAGGCTCCTCCAGTCGAATGTCGCCAGAGAGAACCGTCGGGAAACCGCGGTTTTCTTCTGCAAGACCTCTGGCTGCAGGTTTCCTGATTCCCTCAATGCAGGTCGTACCCAGCCTGTCAGTGAGCTCTCAGAGCTCACAGAGCAAATCGACCTCAATACCATGCTGCGGAGAAGGAAAGATGCAGAATTCACACGCAAACACACATTCAGACACACACACAAACACACACACACACACACACACAGACACAAACACACACACACACACAGCCACACACAGAGAGACAGAGACTCAAAAACACAGAGATACAGAGACACACAGGCACCGACACACACAACCACGCAGAGACACAGACAGCCACAGACACAGACAGAGACACAGAAAGAGAGAGAGACCACACACCCAGAGATACAGAGAGCACGTAGAGCAATAGAGAGAGAGAGACACGCTCAGACAAAAAAAGAGAGAGATACACGCACACACAGAGAACCACGCACACACACACACATACACACACATGTATTTACATATATACACACACATATACAGACACACACACACACACACACACACACACACACACACACACACACACACACACACACACACACACACACACACACACACACAAAAAAAAAAAAAAACACACACACACACATAGCCCCACAGACATATCAACACGCACACATACGCACACACGCACACACACTCACAGACACAAGCGTGGACTTGTAGGCCGTCGGCTCAGAATCAGAGTCTGGACGTTCAGGTGCATCCTGCGAGAACGTGCGAGAACAGCCCTAATACCAGAAATACCAGAAATAAGCAGAAGCCAGGGTCGAGTGGTGAGTCGTCAGGCGTCCTCATTGGATTTGGCAAAGGGAAGCCTCTCACGCGGCCTCCAACATGCAACACACAAGCTGCTGGACGTGTGCAGGAAGCCACTTTGGGGAGGTGGAGGTGGAGGGGTTCGCAGGTTTGCTCTGCACTGCATTGGGTTTCGAGATGTTTTGCTGCATGCCTCGGAGCAGGTGGAGGCTTCAGAACCTGGCGAACATTAAGACTGGATTGCCAAGCAGCGTTCCACAGCAAAATGCTGCTGCCAAGAAGCTTCTTGGATCTTCTTGCTGGCTAGAATTCTTGAAGCTGTTGATGCCAGCTGGTCCATGGCCTTGTTATCACATCCGCAAAAGTGCAGATTGAATAGTGCGAACTCTTCTTATCGCCATTGCAAAAGACCACTCCCCTCCTGAGCGCAAACTCGCCGACCAAGCTTGACAGTGCAAGCATGCAATCATGTCCCTTGAAAATGAACTCGCAGCTCAGAGCTTTGAGCGCGTAAGTTGCCAGTTTCTGTGGGCAACATGCGTGTTTTCTTGGCTGCATCAGTTTCCAGTTGTGGTAGGGCCTTTGCTGCTGCCTGACTCACTGTTGCACTGCGGAATCCACTTTGGTCTTGTGTTGGAATACGTTACACACACACACACACACACACACACACCCTGCACAAGCAAAGCAGATGTAGCCGAGACCCTCGGCAACTCTGAGATCGCGACTGCCCGGTCCAGACTGACACTTCCGCCACGGTTCACGTCAACAGAGACGTGCCTCGTTGCTGAAACGAGACATGACGAAGCCAAGCGAGGGCGGGGAACCTCTGAGCACCCGGCCGCGGCGGCGGTGGCTGCACGCTTCTGGCGAAGAACTCCATGGCGACCTGGTTTCATCACGTTTCATCCTCTTTCCCCCATCTTTCCGAATCTTTTCCCTCCTCTTGGACTTGCGCAGGCCTCAGTTGCTGCACATTGCTCAGACGTCCCAGGGCTCCGAGTCTCACAAATTGTCGAGGCTGAAGCTTGACTACCGCTGACCCTAAAGTGGCTAAATGCTGCGCACTAGTTTCTGCAGCCGCGAATCTTTTTGAGAGTGCACAATCGACCTTCACCTGGAGCCCTATCAATCTACATTGCCACACGCCGGAGCGGCGTGCTCTTTGAGCCAAAGCGGGGTGCAGGTCGTCCCAGAGCTTCCACAAACGGCACATGCTAAGCCAAGCTGAAGCCGCTGAGCCTGCTGGAGGATCTGCGGCATGAAAATTTGGCAAGACTGGTCAACCTCAGCCCCACAACTTCAGGCTTCGATTCACAGCTTCACGACCAAGGTTCACTCAGCCGTCCACCCAGCCAGGGGCACTGTTCGTAATTATCACGATGTTGCCCAACCTCTTCAGATTTGCCCTGTAGGGTGATCGCACCGTGAGGGTAATCACCATGCGCCTCATTCCATGGGCTACTCGCAACACACGGGCTCCGCACGAGGAGGCAATTTGCAACGTCTGTGTCACCGCCTTCGCAAAAGCCGCAAGAATGTGGCACAAATACGAACTCGCAGTTGACACTCTAAAGCTCATGTTGATCACCAGAGACCACCATGAATCTACAGTAATTGCATATACATATATCCGCCGACCCCAGCAACAGCGGGGGCGGCGTCAGTGAAGACCCTCTGTTTGTTCCCCCCCCCCCCCCCCCCCCCCGACCTCCCCCCATCCCTGCCCTGACCGCAACCTCCTCCACTCCACCTCTCCGACACTCTCTGTTTGTTCCCCCCACCCCCCCCGACCTCCCCCCATCCCTGCCCTGACCGCAACCTCTTCCACTCCACCTCTCCGTCCCCCCCACCCCCCCGCCCCACCCCGCCCCCAACCCCCTACCCCCCCTACACACCCCGCCGACCTCCTCCACTCCACCTCTCCGAACACTCTCTGTTTGTTGCCCCCCCCCCCCCCCCCGTCCCCCCCACCCCCCCGCCCCCACCCCCCGCCCCCAACCCCCTACCCCCCCCACACACCCCGCCGATTAGAAATTAGAAACCCACCCAACCCCAACCCCACCCGACCTCCCTTTCCCATCCCTGACCGCAACCTTCCTTTGCTTCCCCCCCCCCCTCACCCACCCTCTTACACTGCCCCACCCCACCTGCTGCCGACCCCCCCCCCCCGCCTATACCCTCCCTTGCCGATGAGCCCTCCCCGCCCTTCCCGCCCCCTGCCCCACCCCCCCCCCCTACCCCTCCCCACCCCGCCTCCCCTTTCTCACCCCCCCACCCCCCCACCCCCAACCCCTCCTTGCCCTTCCCCCACATTCCAACCGCTTCCACCCCACCCCCCCCCACCCCCCGACCCCCCCCCCCACCCCCCTCCACACCCCACCACCCCCCACTCCCCCACCCCTCCCTCCTCAACCCCTCACACCCGCCGCCCGCCACACCCCACCGATCCCACCCCTCCCCCATTAGAAACCCCCCCCAACCCCTCCCCCCAAACCCCCACCCGACCTCCCCCCCATCCCTGCCCTGACCGCAACCTCCCTTTGCTTCGCCCCCCCCTCTCACCCCCACCCCCACCGCTCCACACCCCACCACCGCCCACCCCCCCACCCTCCCTCCTCAACCCCTCACACCCGCCCCCCGACCTCCCCCATCCCTGCCCTGACCGCAACCTCTTCCACTCCACCCCCCCACCCCAAACCCCCCAGCCCCCCCCCTGCCCACACTCTGTTTGTTTCCCCCCCCCTGCCCTGACCGACAACCTCCTCCACTCCACCTCTCCGAACACTCTCTGTTTGTCCCCCCCGCCCCCCCTGATCCCTGCCCTGACCGCAACCTCTTCCACTCTCCACTTACCCCCCTCCGTCCCCCTCACCCCCTAAGAGAAACCCACCCCCCCCCCACCCCTCCCCCACACCACCCCCTCCCTCCCCCCCACCCTCCCTCGCCAATGAGGCAATGATTTAAAGGCTCCAGTACACGCCCGCCCTCCCCGCCCTTCCCCCACCCCCCCCACCCCCCCCACACCCCGCCTACCCTTCTCACCCCCCCACCCCCCCACCCCCCAACCCCACCAGCCACGGCCACGCCCCTCACATCCCCCGCAGGCCTACCCTCTGCCACTCCCTTCCCCTTCCCTACCATTCCACTCCCACCCGCTACCCCTCCCCCTCCTCAATCCCTCACATACCGCCCTTCCTTACCCCCCACCCCAAACCCCCCAGCCCCCCCCTGCCCACACTCTGTTTCCCCCCCCCTGCCCTGACCGACAACCTCCACTCCACCTCTCCGAACACTCTCTGTTTGTCCCCCCCGCCCCCCCTGACCTCCCCCCATCCCTGCCCTGACCGCAACCTCTTCCACTCTCCGCTTGCCCCCTCCGTCCCCCTCACCCCCTAAGAGAAACCCACCCCCCCACCCACCCCCCCACCCCCTCCCCCACACCACCCCCTCCCTCCCCCCCCCTCCGCCTACACCCTCCCTCGCCAATGAGGCAATGATTTAAAGGCTCCAGCACACGCCCGCCCTCCCCGCCCTTCCCGCCCTTCCCGCCCCCTCCCCCACCCTCCCCCACCCCCCCCACACCCCGCCTACCCTTCTCACCCCCCCACCCCCCCACCCCCCAACCCCTCCTCGCCCCCCCCCCACATTCTCACACCCCACCGATTAGAAACCCACCTCCCCTACCACCCCCCGTCTGCCTCCACCCCCCCCCCACCAGCCACGGCCACGCCCCTCACATCCCCCGCAGGCCTACCCTCTGCCACTCCCTTCCCCTTCCCTACCATTCCACTCCCACCCGCTACCCCTCCCCCTCAATCCCTCACATACCGCCCTTCCTTACCCCCCACCCCAAACCCCCCCAGCCACCCCCCTGCCCACACTCTGTTTGTTTCCCCCCCCCCTGCCCTGACCGACAACCTCCTCCACTCCACCTCTCCGAACACTCTCTGTTTGTCCCCCCCGCCCCCCCTGACCTCCCCCCATCCCTGCCCTGACCGCAACCTCTTCCACTCTCCACTTACCCCCCTCCGTCCCCCTTACCCCCTAAGAGAAACCCACCCCCCCACCCACCCCCCCCCACCCCCTCCCCCACACCACCCCCTCCCTCCCCCCCCTCCGCCTACACCCTCCCTCGCCAATGAGGCAATGATTTAGAGGCTCCAGTACACGCCCGCCCTCCCCGCCCTTCCCGCCCTTCCCGCCCCCTCCCCCACCCCCCCCCACCCCCCCCCCCCACCCCCCACCCCCCACCGATTAGAAACCCACCCCCCCCCAACCCCTACCACCAAACCCCCCAGCCCCCCCCTGCCCTACCCCACCCGCTGCCACCCGCCGATGAGACAACGATAAAGGGTCCAGTACACGCCCGCCCTCTCGCCCTTCCCGCCTCTCCCCACCCCCCCCTCTCACCCCCCCACCCCCCTTCGCTTCCCCCCCCCCCTCACCCACCCTCCCGCACTGCTCCCCTCCCTGTTTGTTCCCCGTGTTTTTTCCCGGGGCCTTCCCCCATCCCTGCCCTGACCGCAACCTCTTCCACTCCATTCCTCTGTCCGTCCCCCCCACCCCCCCGCCCCGCCCCCCGCCCCACCCACACCCCGCCCTGCCTCCACCCCCCCACGAGCCACGCCCCTCACATCCCGCACAGGCCTACCCTCTAAACCCCCCACCCCCCCCTGCCCTACCCCACCCGCTGCCGACCCCCCCCTCCGCCAAGACCTCCCCTCGCGGATGAGGCAATCATTTACAGGGTCCAGTACACGCCCGCCTTTTTCGTTTTTTCCGCCCTTCCCGCCCTTCCCCCCACCCCCCTCCCCCACCCCACCCCCCGCCCCCCTACCCACCCCACCCGCCCAACCCCCGCCGCCCCCTCCTCCCCATCCCCATCCTGCAGGCCTTCCCTCTACCAGCTACTCCGCCCCTCATCCCTGCCCACTCCACCTCTCCTACCCTTTTTCCCCTGCCCCCCCCACTACCCTTCCCCTTCCCAACCATTCCACTCCTCCTGCCCTGCCCCTCTCCTCTCCCTCCCCACCCGTCCTCCTCCCCCCCGTCCCTGACCTCCCACCCCACACACACCCACCTCCTCAACCCCTCACATGCCACCTCCCCCCACCCCACCCCCACCCCCACCCCTACCCCAAACCCTCCCCCCCCCTCGCCTCGACCCTACCCTTCCCGCACTGGCCCCGCCCCCCCCCCTCCCCAGCCCCCCTGCCCCTCCTCAATCCCTCACCTACTGCGTTCTCCAAACCCCCCCCCCTCCGCCTATACCCCCCTCGCCGATACCCTCTACCCAACCATTCCACTCCCTTCCCCTGCCCCTCTTCCTCAGTACCCTTCCCCTTTCCAACCCCATCCCTTTACATATACCGTTTCAGAACTTAGAACCAAGGTTTACGGTTTCGGCGCTTAGAGCAGAGGCATTATCTCCCAGAGTTGAGCAGGAGAAGAAGGGGGGGGGGGAAACGAAGGGATAGGGTTTGGGCAGCTTGGGCGTTTGCCTCCAAGGGGTCGGCGGCACTGGCGGTAGCCATTAAATAAACGTATATTCTTCGCCATAAGGGCAATACAGGGATTACTACTCTTTGTTTTTGGGTGGCTCTTTAGCAAATGGTAAATGTGGTCACTTCTTGAAGTTTATTATGGTCCCTCTTGGGGTTACGATTCTAAGGCGGCCACTCTGATTCAGGGTACCCAAAATGGACAATAATTTAAATTTTGAGGACTCACCATGTGGTCCCTTAAGAATCTAATTAGGGACTTACCACCTAGGTTCCTTATAACCCAATTTAGGATCCTCATCATTCTACTGAAAACCCTGAACCCTAAACCCTAAACCCTAAACCCTAAACCATGCCCCTCCTTGTAGTGAATGTAGTCCCTAGAATCCAGGGCACTGCGCCCCAGTCCAGAAAGCTGCAGTTCGAGCGCTTCCAGTGCCGCGCCGCGGCACGTAAAAGCCACGGCTGCGCGCTCGAAGCTCCTCTGGGTCTAGGGTTTAGGGTTTAGGTTTAGGGTTTGGGGACCTTAGGGCGTGGGATTTAGGGATGTCATTTTTTGCTATTTGGGGATTACGCTTTTGGGGTTTTCTGCAGCGCTATCTCTGAAGAGGGGTTTAGGGGTTGGCTTTCTGAGCGGAGCTTTTATGTTTGGCCACCTGTCTAGCATACACTCTGTCAGCTCACTGGTTCAAATGCTCTTGTGACCACCATCAGCCCCAAACCCTAAACCCTAAGCCCTATACCAGCCTAACAGTGATTGGAAAGCTCGATACTGGGCTGAGTTTTTGCACTGTGTGGAGAGTTGTCAAGAGAGAGCATGGCCTAGCAACCGAAGTCCATGGACTCTCGTCTCCCCTTTACAACACAAAACTTAAAACTCTATAAGCCACAAACCGTCTTAAGTTCGAAACCCTCTAGTTCGAAGCAGGGTAGTTTCATGGGCCCTTCGTATCGTCCCCTACCTCCTCTACAGCGTTCTGAAGTATGGGCCCTTGAGATATAAGGTTCATGTCCCCCATATGACCCTTTAAAGGGAGTATGTAGCGAACCGGAAGCCCTGGACCCTATAAACCCCAAA